TACGTATAGATTCTCCCTACTTGCATATATATGCATCATCCATGACTTATCGTACATTGATGATTACACTTTTCAGGAATATGGGCCAAGGGTGATATGGTTTTGGTTAAAAGTCAGGAAAACACTTTTCAGAAATAGGGGAAATCATTAAGGTTGTGTTTAGTTTGAAAGAAAAGGTAGGAAAAGGAAGGGAAACCAAACACCCTTCCATACTTTAAAACCTTTTCCTTCCTTTCCCTAGCTATCTTTTCTTTCAAACAAACACAGCTTAAAGTTTTCAAAATAATGGGTGTACGTCGTAGTTTCCCTTGCCAATTCAAGAATTTTTCATGTAGTCTATGTTTGGTGTGGTAGAAATAAACTTTTCCTCAACTTATTTCTGCTTCTCTCTTATTTTCTATCAAACAAAACACAGCCATAGCGTGGTCCAGTCATTTGTTGTATGGTCATCTAAAGGGAGATTATGAGTTGGTGTTTGGTAAGATGTATGATCAATTTCTCTAAATTTTGTGTTTAGGTGGCATTATTTAAGTTTGAATATCCTTTGAACAAATGTGAGATGTGCAGAGAAATTATCAAAATTCTTTGTAGGTTGTGTTAGATTGTGATATAAATGTAAAACTTTATTGTTGGTTTGCATTTATTTGTGTTTGTTTTCAGTATAAATACGGACCGGTGTAAAACTCTATTTTTGATCCGTATTTTCATGCATTTATTTTCAGTGTAAGATTTACATTGAATTATCGCACGGTTGAGTTTTGCATTGATTATCGCTTTAAAAAATTCTAACGATTCACTGAAATTTTAAACCCAGCGGTGTGGAATTTCATTGATGTACTTTTACATTGAAAACAAACATAATCTCAATTGATTAAAATATGATGAATAAGATTCAATGCATGGAGAAATAATTAATTCCCACCTGATCAAAGGAAATTTGTCCGATTATATTGAACTTACAGTTAAATTTTGAGGTTAAAGGGTTTAGGGTTTTAAAATTTAAGATTTAAATATAAAAACCAAGAGGTGATCGATCAAAGCGTTGAATCATGATAAGATCTGACTAAAGCCCTAATGGGTATCTCCAACTAAAACATGTATTAATTTGAAATTATTCTTATTAGGGCTAGCAGTGTTTCTGATGGACTGAATTTGTTGCATATCCAACGAAATAGCCAAAAAGCCTTAAAACTGACGAATCATGAAACATGGAAAATCACTCTTTAATTGGCAAAGAAAAAAAAAAGCAGTAGTTAGTGGGTCTTATTCATCCAATTTATACTTGGCATAAATTTGACTCTCCAGATCAATAGATCATTAACTAAATCAATGATTTTTGGCCAAAAAACAGTTTTAGGATAAAATGAAATCAATTACATGACCAATTCCTAGGTTTTTGATCCGACCGTTTGGTCCAATCCGATCCAGTTGTGAAACCATGATTCAGGCACAAAATGGCTCGACTTTGGACGACATTGCAAAAGGAAATGAATTGAACTGGATTAGCGAGTAGCGAGTACAGGTTCGTCAAAATGAGGGACACTTGAAATTAGATGCAAGCAGGCACCGACACACTCACACACTGGGGTGTTCCAGAAGCCAAGTGCTCTAGCTAGTTTTAGGCGTTGTCGCATCAATCAAAATCACTGAAAATAAACTGAACGCATTTTCTATTTGAGGGCGAGTTTCGTTTTGGGTGTATGCATGATGTAATGTATTGGATTCAGATGAGAAATTCAGAAACTCACATTAATGATTCATGTTCTTCCTGAAAATCATGTAATTAACCACCGTGGTGAGGAACCTCTCTAGTCTCTTCAGCTGACGATGAAAATGACTGACAAATGGGGATTAGTAGGACCCCATGATGAAACTTCTGGTTTCATGTGAACCTTAATCACTTGTCATCTGTGGTGCCGCCTACAATTTACTAATTAGATGCAAGTATGGTGTTTAAGTAGGTGCAATATCATTCAATCAACTATGACTATGACAGCACTTTTCTGGGAATAAGCAATTTCAGTCTTCATTCAAAATCTATGATGGTTCTCTTGTAACACCTTTTATTTGTCAAACTCAAATTGCCGATCCACGACCTAACAATTCTTTCAATTACATGCAAAATTGCCTCTTTTAAATTTCGGTCAGAATCAGTGATTCGATTACATTGCGATAAATAAACCAAACCGGTTGAAGCCTAAAGGTGGGGGAACTCAAGGACTACTTACGGGTGTTTTGTAATGTCAATCAGAAATTGGCTGATCCACACTGCGTCACTCCGGTAGGGGTAGGGATCGATCCACACCATACTATAGTCATAATTGTTTTGAATTGTAGATGAATCAACGTTATGAAGGTACCGTTTTTTTATTTTATGTATTTTATATACAGTTTATGAAGTGATATACACAATTAATCATAAATATTTAATTTTTTATATTTTATATGATAAATAAATTGAAAAATGTATCGATAAATTAATATTAAATAATAAATATTAATTTTAATAAAAAAGATAGTAAAATCATTAAAAATAAAAATTATTTTATTGATAATAACATTAAAAATTAATATGTAAATAAACAAAAAAGAGTGGAGAATGAGCACTACTGGGCTTGTGCTAGAATTAACATTAAAATTTATTATTTTATTGATAAAAATATTAAAAAATTAACATTAAAAAGTATTATTTTACAATTTAAAATTTAAAATAAAGAAAAACATGTAAAAGAAATGTATTGTATCAAAATAGAGTGTGGAAATGTTGTGGATCAATCACATCCACAAGATATATGTGTTGACGAGATTTTGAATTGTGGATGGGAATAGTCTATGATATATTGTGAACTAATCCCGTCCACAGCCAACCGAACACCATGGCCATCCTGTGATGTGAACCAAAACTAGCCATCCACGAGATGACCATAGTTCCAAACACCATTTTTTTTTCTTCTCTAGGTAGATGAAAGACTACTGGTTGATGTTGATCGGGTGTTTGATTGGAACTTGAATTAGCTGAACACTTTAGCTGTTCAAAAGACTGTGAAACCAATGATGAGGTTCCACGCCAATAATAAATTCATTGGCCCCATTGTAAAATATATGGGCCCCATATATTTAAATACTAATATGAAACATTTTCATTGATTCCACAGATCGCTTGATCAGCTAAACCTTGTTCATTTGATTGTAATAGCTAAACCTTGTTCATTTGATTGTAATATACGTTCAAATATAACCAAGTGGAAGGTGATTCAGAAGGCTAGCTAGTTCCTATTGCTACATGCGAAGCTCTAAAGGGCACTCACGCTCAGTCATCCCACATTCCCACTAAATAAAGGAGTGGGCCGAGCAAGTGGGGGTGGTATCTGAGTCTTCCTTTCTAAATTCGCTTTGCCCATGCACGATTGTCTGGCATCCTCATTTTTTTACTTTAATTCTCCGCGTGAGACCTCGTTGTCTGGAGCCTCATCAACTACCAGTTTCCACGCTTAAGTCTGTGGATCACACTGAATCTTCCATGATAAAATGGAGTACAGAATAACAGTGAAGTGATATATGGGATATTGGCCAAATAACAATGAAGATTGTGAGGTAATTTATTTAGAGATGTACATGTTTTTCCTTGTGTTCAAGGGAAAAACAAAAAACACAAAAGGCAAAGATGCATTATTAATTTTGTCTTTTCAAAATAACCGGAACATTTTTTATTTAGTCTGTGTTTGGAATTAATGCAAATAAGTGTGAATCTAAATATATAGTGTAAAACGATCCATATAAATTGTAATATCGGGTTAATTTTACATTGATAAATTTACATTGTTACCAAATAGATTTTTAGTTGTAATGGATGCAAACACGAATTCCAATAAAATGTCTTTTTTATCAAAAACCCACTTGAATGCAAATTTACTTCTTTTTTATTAATGTACTTTTACATCTCATTATCGATGTAAATATGCATATGATCAAACACAGGCAAAAGTGAAACAGAATGCAAATTTACCCTGGACCGGGATTTACACTCCATTTGCATCATTTCCTAAAGCAGCCTAAATTTATAAATATCCTAATACCACTCAAAGGGACATCCATACACACACAAAAAGAAAAAAAAAAAAGAAAAATCAATAAAAAGTTATGAGAAAGAACTTTTTTTAGGCAAACATGGAGGTGGGAATGGAAAGGCTGAAGGCGAGATTTGATGATCCCAGGTCAGTGGCAAGTGGAAACTACATCTACATCCTCCAACTTTATCAGCTTAGCCAGATGAAGCCTTTCAACACAGTATTTTGAAAATCAGGTCATTTCATCAGAAGTTGTACTACGGCTTAGAGAGAAGAAGTGGCAAGGTAGGCTGCAAATATGTCATATTCTACATAGGGGTATATCCAAATCAACTTCGCCCACATGGTTAGGACATAGGACAAGTCTTAGATGACTATGGTGATAACAGAATCAAATCTAGCACATGAATTCAGATCTGATCCAGTTCAAATGTCAATAAACTTTTAGAGAATTTATATAAGCTTGAAGAAATTTAACTTAAAACATACAAGTGACAAACTATATCTATATGCTATTGAAGGCCTAGTACCTCAATCCACATGAATGACTCAACATCTAAATAAACTTAATTGTTAAATTAATTACTAGAAGTCATCATCTCGATTTAATTAATTAACAAATTAAACGAATGACCAGATCTGGCTTAAACGAATGGTACTAACTAATCAAGATTCAGACCATATCAAGATCCAACCAATTTGCATCCCTATTCTTGAGCAGAAGTACAAATAAAATAATAGAGAGTAGTTGCTCCAAAAGCACGGTTAGCCTTTCTAGTTTTCCTGTTTAAGTCCGATAGCCAGAGGCATAGCCCATGAGTTGAGTAGGTGATACTTGACAGGATCATCAACATTTAAACGCATCCATCCTCAGGAAGGGTTTCCATTGCATTTATTGAAGTTATAACCTAACTGGTAACTTGGCATCAAGAGTGGTCGTACAAATTTATCTCATCAAGTCCATGATACACCAAACCAGGAGATGCACCGTCTTTGCGTTGACAGTAGTACAATACTACAATTTACCAATTCTGGTGGCTAATGAACTCTTTAAAAAGATAGAGATAGCACGAGAAAATAATATATAGTTCCCCTTAAAATTCACATAGCTCTAGCATTGTTATCTGAACGCACAATTGCATCTGTCATCATGACTTGATAAAGCAAAACTGTGCTACCACCTAATTAATAATTATGATTCTCCTCCAATGTAAAGTGCTGCTTGTGAAAAGGTGCTCCTAGTAGAAGGGAATAGTCATGGCTTTTTTACGTGGCACAACGTGCATTTCCTGGAAGATTGTTAGCATCGATCGACTGAAACAGTTAACGTGCGACTCTCCCCAGCCAAGTTCTCACTAGTCACTTCCCCCTCGCAACTCCTTAGAGTTTAGCCATCTTCAACCAAGCATGTCTGCCAGACCGTCCAGTAATATGTAGGATTTCTGTCTTTCTTCAACGCCGCTTTCTCATTACAACATTCATTAATATACACCTTTAAATCAATCAAATAAATTGAATCTTATTGAAACTTTACAAACCCAAAAAAGTAAACCACAAACAATACCCATTAAGGCGGAGAGAGGGACTTTTGAAAGGTTGCCCCATGCCAAAACCTTCAATCCCTTCTTCACTTGCCCACCTTAATCTGAACTTTGTTCATCCCAACTTCCAACTTTCCTACAGTTTTTTCTTTCTTTTCCTCTTCCAATTTTCCTCTACTTTGTTCTTTCTTTTCCTCACTTGGGATAGTATTTCTGATATTTAGCCACGGGTGTTGCAGGCACTGCTGTGCAGTTGGCCGTTTCTCTGGTGTAAAATCCAACAACGGACACAGAAATTCAGCAAATTCCCGAGCATCAGATTCAAGAAATTTGTATCTATCGACTAGAATTCGGTCTAGGGGCCAATGTTTTAGTCTCCGGATCCTCTTCAGGTCTCCATATCTGTCAAAGAAATCTTTAGATCGAGATCCTCCAACGGCCATCTGTTTTCAGATGCAGGAAAAATGGATATTAGATTTGATTGATCATAAGAAGGTTGAGTAAATAGAAAGTGTTCTCACCTTCCTAGGTATCTTCCCAAGTAACTCCATCATCAAAGCAAGGTGATCCTAACAGTTTAAAAATCACAAGCTCATGTCAGCTGAATGTTTTTTTTCTTTTTTGGGTCATTTAGAACAATGAGATAATTAACTAGCACAACTATGTCATGAAGACATGGAAATTACATATACTTGTATAATAAAGTTGTAATCAGCATTCTTAAATTTCCCATATCTTAAAGTGTTTCTTTGGAGAGATGAAATAAATTTGGGGTACTGGTAAAAAAGATTGTTCATAACAAAAAACTTAAAAAAAAAGGATATAGCAAGGAATATCCACTATGTTAGCATCCCATTAAAGAAATGGATAGAATATGCCTATATGCTTTTTGTCAGATATTTTAAAACCCTAAAATGTGTTTATCCATTAATCTTAAAAGGGCAGTCTAATGCAGGGTTTGGGTAGGGACAGATTATGCAGCCTTTCCCCTACAGATAATAATATTTTTTAATATTATCAAAAAAAAATTATTCAAATCATGATTCTACAGCTTGGATGGATAAGATTAATTGAAATCTTTGTACATCATTTGGATGGTTGAGATTAATCCATTGAACTTGAGAGATCATTTTAATGGTCTCCAGATATTTGGGATGATTGGATACATCATTTGAACATGCCATATTAGATGAAGTCCTGCTAAACTATTTGGATGGTTAAAATTAATTGGCAGGTCTTAAGGGTGCTATGTTGATGGCCAAGATTTACATGTTATTTGGTAATCCATTATGTGTGGCTGTATTTGTATAGAATTTGTAAAAGAGGTTATTTGAATGACTGGGATTGGTTAAATCTTGATCATAAACATATTTATACTACTATTAAAAGTGTGAATGAGAGTATGGAACTTCTGTTTAACTAAAATACCCCAATTTTTTAATTTGGTTCCTAACTGTAAGGACAGAAATGTAATTTGAACAACTACTTTTCTCCTCATTCAAATTCCTCTTATTAAGTATTATTTTAAGGTATTAACTTCCATTAACATTCACTGAATCCTATTTTTGACAAGAATACCCCTATTTTTTTATGTGTAATTTTTAAGAATACCCCTATTTTTAAATTTTGGCCTCCCTCTAATTGTGAGAGCACAAAGTGTAATTTGAACTATTACATTTCTCCTCATTCAATTCCCTCTCATTAAGTCTTATATTTAGGGTACTAATTTCACTCTTTCACTGAATCCTATATTAATTAATCGCATTAAAGAAAAATAAGTCTGACAAAGAATAAAATACAAATTTAAAACCAACCCAAAATAGAGTTGTTTTCCTGATTGGTGGTGAGTCAACAATTTAACCTTTTTGGGTCAAATGTGTCAACCCTTGATGTCATAATTAAATAATAATAAAAATTAAAAAGATAAAAACACACAAAAGTATAAAAAATACAAAAAAAAAATGTGGATTGGCAATAAATGGGCAATTTTGTAATTGCCCACTCGATGTTAACACTATCAGGGGTGTCCAGAGTTTGTGGGGGATCTAACACAAGACAAAAACAAAAACAAAAAAAAAAAAAAAGTTTAGGGAGTGAAGTGATAGACCAAGGCATGCTACAATCTATGGGGGTTTGCGGAATTTACCCTTTTAAGAAATATGGAATGCCCAAGGCATGCTACAATTTTTGCAAGGATCAACTTCTCTGGATATTCTATTTCTCAGCCATAGAATATATTGTTTAGTGAATTCTTATCAATGATGCACTACCTATTCTGGCACCAAATGCTCCAAACTTGGGTTGACAAGTTTGAAAACATGGGTTCAGCTCTGAGAATGGGCACTTTGTGCTAAAATGCCAAAGGTTAGGTCCATATCTAGTCTATTTCTCATATTTGATCCATGTCCAGTCCAATCATTTAAGCAATGAGTGCATGTAACATTTTTTCTAATACTATATTACAATAAATAAACTAAATATAGTTCATCAAAAAAATACATTAATTAAATTTAAGACAAGAGAATCTACCTCATCATCACTAAACCCCTGACCACTCTTAGGAGCAAACAGCATGTCGCCAGTAGCAAGCTCAAATGCAATGCAAGCAAAAGACCACATATCAGCAGAGAATGAATACCCAGTTCCAAGGATAACCTCAGGTGATCTATACTGTCTTGTTTGAATCTCTTCTGAAAATTGTTTATCAACCCAACATGCATTTCCAAAATCCACAATCTTGCACTTAAAATCAATTACATCCAAGTTCCTCTCACGGACTGGATTAACAGGAAGCCCCCCCATTGAAGCCCTCCTTTCTGCAATTTTAGCCACTGCCCTCTTTGCCCTCCTTTTCAGCTTCCTTTCAATCATATTGACCACAGGGGTTCCATTAGGATTTCCCTCAGGCCTCTTGAGTATCGGGGATAACCCAGACCGAATTGGGTCCTTGGTGGGATCTATGGTGGATACAAGGACAATATTTTCAGGTTTAAGATCTGTATGGATTATGCGAAGTTCTCTGTGCAAGTAATCAAGGCCTACCAGAATCCATCTGCAAATCTCCCTCACGTTATTCAATTTAAGGCCTTTATGGCGATTATATCTGATCAGTCGTAGTAGACTGTCACCAAGGAACTCGAGAACCATACACCAATGCTGTCCATTTGGGCCTGTATGCTTGAAGTGGTCAATCAATCGAATAACACACTTGCAATTAGAAGGATCACCATCAGCTATTGCTGACAAGAACTCGATCTCATGGACGGCAGCCTCGGCAAATTCAGCTGCACTTTTCTGGATCTTCAGAGCAACAAACCTCTGCAACAGATATTAAAATAAAACTTAAGATACATTATCCGTCTACCTAGAATAAGTAAGAAAAGAAAAGAACTTATGTAAGAAAATTGACTGAAACAGGATCCCAGGAGATGTAGGGCTGTAAAAGGATCAGATTGAAACGGACATACCTAGATCTGAATTTGATTGGAAAATTATAAAACAAATACTATTGGCATCCCTACAAGATGGCCCACAATTTCCAATTTCTGGACTAAAAAGTACTCCAGAGAGCAAAGCAGAGAAACAGAAAAGGTCTCAGATGGCAATTTGACGAGAAATCCTCTAGTCGTTGAATTGTTTAGAGAAAAAAAAAGTTAAATTCAATATTACAAAAATATATATTTTTCCATAAGTAGGAAGAACTGGACTGGATCTCAGAAAGGAAGAAGAAGACGAAAAAATGACATAATCATAATTTAGATGAAAGCATACAACTTTCATCAAACACAGAATGAAAGTAGACAGCTTTAGATGAAAAAAATAAGGGGAATGACATAATCACAATTTGTAGAGAACGGATATAATTCAATACATACAAGGCACCGAAACCGGAAGAAAAGAAGGATTAAGGAGCAGATAGGTGCATTTCAGAGCAGATCACATAATAAACGAATAGAAGATAAAACTTCTTTCAGAAACAAAATAGAAGAAATCATGACAACATTTGTAAAAGATGCATCGGATCCATATTCCATAATAGGTGGAACGTCTGGTATAAAGAGACTAACCCAGGTGATATAGGAGTAACAGGCAAAATAAACGAAGAGATTGCATAAAGCCATCAAGTATGTGGGTTACAAGATACAAATCAATGAATGGAAGTAATTTTGATATCTTTCACGGAGAACCGACAGAAATCAGACAACTTCTGAACGGCAGAGAAATCATAAGGAAAAAAGTGTAATCATATAGAATATAATCAAATGGCGTCTTGCATAAACCCATAAAGAATCCATAATATCCCATATAAACAACAAACGAAAAACGATCTAGAGGTAATTTAAGCAAGAAAAATTAAAAAAAAAAAGCATAAAACAGATAAGAAAACAGAGAGAGAGAGAGAGATTTGGATAAAGAAGAAGAACATACAGAGCAGCGTGTGTCGTAAGCGAGCCAAACGGTGGAGAAGTGACCCCAACCAAGCTTCCTCTGAGCGATGTAACGCCCACCAGCGAATTGATCCCCCACTCTGACGGCGTGGTATCCACCTTTCCGGTAAGCGTCGAACCCCTCATCTTCCTCTTCCGAACCGGATGACGAAGAACACGACATCTCTCAGTTGTGCTCTCCTCCTATCTTCTGTGCCGGATTCTGTTTTCAAATCTTCTGAATCTCTTCTTGTTTCGTTGTAATGGTTGTTTGTTAAGAAGAGGTATTCCAGAGCATTATTTTGTGGCCTTCAATCCTTTTTCTCTTCCGTCTTCCCCTTTGAGAAATTTCAACGAGAGTGCTTTTAGGCCTCGCTTTGCCTTTTCCACAAGACCGATGTGACCATGTCCACTTTTACTCTTTCCGCTAACATGCGCCACAAGTGGTCTTGGATTGTTTTAGATTAGTACGAGTTTCTGTAACCGTATGTCCCAACTCGTAACCATCTATTCATTTCGATTGTGAACAAAGTTTTCACCATCACAATATATTTTGGAAAATGGGAACAGAAAATGTTAGTTATTTTTTTATTTTTTTATGAATAAAATCTAAAAGTCCGGTTGGTTGAGCCGCTTTTTCTATTGGACCAGCGGTTCACCAATCAAGTTTTTTCTTCCTTTTTTTTTGTTTTTTTTGAAATGGTTCAGCAATCGAGTTGATGGCAAACTCGCAGTCGCAGGAGGAAGTGTAGGACGTGTGTGTAGCCCTTTGAAAGTTGAATTGGCGGTATTTTAATTTTTAAGAACGTTGATCATGGCAGATTGGCAGCAGCAGCTATGCAGGGTAGGGACAGAGCTTTGGAGTTCACATCTGCGTCCCACAGCACACCCCCAGTGTGTATTGGGGGCGGGAATGTGCTGTGGGACGTGGGGCACCCCCTTGTGGGGCACGAACTTAGCTTTGGTGGTTTCTCTTATTCCATCATCTGTATCTCAAAAGGGCTAAATTTTTTGTACGTTATATATGTTGGTTGAGATATCACATTTGTGCCTGTGCCTCATAGACTGCGTTCCACAAGAGCGATGTGTTTTGGTGTGCTTGTGGGGTGTTAATGTGATCTCATAGATATCGTTGATTGGAAATTTGGAACATTATCTTTGTAATTTCTCTTTATATTAATCAATATTTTTATCTTTTTAACAAATATTATATTGTAGATATTTATATTTGCACTTTTCCCAAATTAATCTCAATATATAGCAATGGCAATGATGTAGGGATCATATTCTCTATCCTCGATCCCGATTCTGAAATTAACCATCCTTGTCCCCAATCCCCATCAGGGATAAAATTTGTCCTTCATCCCCGATCCCCGGTGGGGATGGGTTCTTCGTGGGGACCCGAATCGTGTGTATGTGTTCCTTCGAATGCCCCTGGCAGTACCTAATAACAGACAACTAACAAGAAAAAAAAAGCTACCTTGTCAGCAACTAGATAGACTAGGCTGACAACATACTAACAGCATACTAACACAGAACCAAACAACATACTAACGGCATACTAACACATAACTAATAAATAAGATTCACAACGCTCCCCCTCAAGTTGGGTTGAATATGTCTATCATGCCCAACTTGTCACACAACTCATTGTGCCGCGAGTATGGAAATCCTTTTGTGAGGACATTAGCAAGTTGTTCCTTGGAGTTGACATAAGGGATGCAAATGTCTCTCTCATGTAGGACAGGATTGTTGGCGATGTTAATGACTGCCTTGTTGCACAATAAAGAGACAGAATTGTGAACAGCAACTCCAAGCTCCCCTAAAAGATTTTTAAGCCAAAGAACTTCAGCCACCCCATGTGTCGTAGCCCTATACTCTGCTTCAACACTTGACCTTGCTATCACACTTTGTTTCTTGCTTTTCCATGTCACTAAGTTTTCTCCCACAAATGTGCAATACCCACTTGTGGACTTTCTGTCATCCACCACACCTGCCCAATCAACATCTGTAAAGACTTCCACATTTAGATGATTATGCTTACTGAATAGTAGACCTGTTCTTGGATACTTTTTTAGGAGAGTGCATGAATTGGCTCAGGACCCCAAGTGAATAGGCAATGTTTGGACGAGTCATGGACAAATAAATCAACTTCTCCACTAACCGTTGGAACTTTTTTATATCTTTCAGAGATTTACCATCACAATTACCCAATTTATGATCAACATCCATAGGAGTATCTGCTGGCCTTGCACCTAATTTGTCTGTGTCTTGTAACAAATCAAGAGTGTACTTCCTTTGAGAAATGAAGATACCCTTTTTTGAGCGGGCAACTTCAATTCCAAGAAAATACTTTAAAGGGCCTAGATCTTTCACTTCAAATTTAGACGCAAGGAATTGTTTCAATTGTTGTATTTCTGAACTCCAATTTCCTGTAATGATGATATCATCCACATACACTATCAAAGCAACAACTTGTTCCTGACATCTCTTCACAAAGAGTGTGTGATCAGACTGACATTGCTTGAACCCTACTTGTTGAACCGTCATATGAAACTTACTGAACCAAGCACTGGGTGATTGTTTTAATCCATAGAGAGACTTTCTTAGCTTACACACATTCTTTTCACTTCCCTTGGCACAAAATCCTAGGGGTTGAACCATGTATACCTCTTCCTCTAGGTCACCATTTAAAAAGGCATTTTTAATGTATAGTTGATGCAATTCCCAGTCAAGATTAACAGCTAATGATAGAAGAACTCGAATTGATTTCATCTTAGGTATTAGAGCAAATGTCACATCGTAGTCAACTCCGTACACTTGAGTGTACCCCTTGGCTACCAATCTTGCTTTATACCTTTCAACTGTCCCATCTGCCTTGTGTTTAACTATAAACACCCACTTACACCCCACTGGGTCTTTCCCCCTTGGAAGATCTACCAATTCCCAAGTTTGATTTTTATGGAGGGTATTAATTTCCTCCTTCATAGCATCTGTCCATTCAGGGTATTTTAAGGCTTCTGCAACATTTTTTGGTACAGGGATGCAATCAACTACAGATAGGAAGGCTCGTTATGAGGGAAAGTGTGATCATAGGAGACATACTGGGTGATGGGATTTTGGGTAGTGCATGACCTAACTCCCTTTTTTTGAGCAATAGGAATGTCAAGTTCATCCACAGTAGGAGCAGGGGTGTCAATAGGTGTAGTAGAGTTTAGATTTACCTCATGGGAGTCTGACAGTGTCAAATGCTCAATAGTTGGTAGCTCCACATCTCTGTCACATTGTTGATCTCTATGACATGTACATTGGAAGACACGAAAGGGGGCCAGGTCCGGAATAGAAGGAAAAGAGACTTGGCGAACTTGAACCTGCTTCTCCTCTTCTACACTACTCTCCCTCTAAGGATAAGCAGGGAAGAATGGTTCAAACTCAAAGAATGACACATCCATAGGGACAAAGAATTTATGACTAACAAGATCAAAGCACTGATGCCCCTTTTGAGATGAGGGATACCCCATAAAGATACAAGGAATTGACTGAGGGTCTAACTTACCTCGAGACGGAGACAAATCATGGACAAAGGCACGACAACCAAAGACTCTCATGGGAATGGAAAATAAAGGGGACTGAGGGAACAACAACTTATGAGGGGCCATGTAGTTCAGCACTCTGGAGGGCATGTGATTGATGACATAAGCAGCTGCAAGTATAGCATCCATCCAAAACCTCTTTGGAACATTCATGTGTAACATCATCCCTCGAGCTACCTCAAGAAGGTGTCTGATTTTTCTTTCAACACCATTTTGTTGCAATGTTCTTGCGCACGAGCTCCTATGAATAGATCCATGGGAGGTAAATAACTCATTCAGCTCACCATGGAAATATTCCTTAGCATTATCTGATTGGAAGATTTGTATTTCGACATGAAACTGTGTAAATACCATCCTATGGAAGTCTTTCATAATCTTTGAAACTTCATCTCTGCTATGCATCGGGAATACCCATGTATATCAGGAGAAATCATCGATCAAAGTGATAAAGTACTTATACCCGCCCTCAGAGGTTATAGTGGTAGGCCCCCATACATCAGAATACACAATATAAAAAGGAAAATTGGATCTTTTATTACTTGAACGAAAAGTTGTTCTACATTGTTTTCTCAACTGGCATATTTGACATTGAAAATCTGACGCTAAACATGACTTAAATAAAAACGGAAACAAAGACTTCACTATTTCAAAGGAAACATGACCTAATCGACTATGCCACAAAAAAAAATTGACTCTTATTCGACTGACTACATGACTCAGAGGACGACACCAAGAGACCAGCTTTGTTGTCAAAAATATAGAGACCATCCATTAGGCTTCTTCTACCAATCGTCCTCCCAGAAGTTAGATCCTAAAAAACACATGAACTAGGAAAAATGTTACACTGCAGTTTAAAGAGTTTGTAAGGCTACTGATTGAAAGCAAATTTATAGGAAGTTGGGGAACATGCAACACACTATTTAGGTTAAGACTATGGGGAAGGGATATTGATCATTGGCCTGCAATGGAGGAGAATGATCCATCTGCAAGCCTCACTTTGTCCCTTACTGACAAAAGGCTATAAGTCTGAAACAAATTTGGCTTACTGATCATGTGGTTAGAGGACCTTGAGTCAATGATCCAAGGGGAATTAGTGGTAGTAGTGACATGAAATGTAGAAGCCGCATTACCTAATGTAGATGCAAATGAAGTAGAATGAGTACTAATGACTGCTTGGGTTGCCACATGTGCTGCATTATGTGTTGTATTCATCTTCTTCTGACCTTGCACTTTACCCTGTTCTTGGTTCTTCACTGCTCACTTGGGCTTCCTATGAATTTCCCAACATGTGTCACGTGTATGTCGCGAGCGCCAATAGTGGGTACAAAACAACTTGTCTATATCATTAGCCTTCTTGGAGTCACTTTTCTTCCCCATATTGTTATTACTCATTGCAGCCAATGCTACCTGTTGCTCCCCCTCAATTGTATCCATCACACTTCGCCTACTTTCTTCATATTGAACAAGGGCATATACCTCTTGAATCGACGACAACTCTTTGCTTCCTAAGATCTGAACTCTCAAAGGTTCATAGACAGGGTTCAGTCCCAACAAGAAAGCAAATACACACTGTTGAGAAACCAGCTTCCTGTAGGCCTTAGTATCACCATCATGTTTCCACTCTATATCCTGATAATGATCAAATTCTTTCCATACGAAAGTAAGGACTAAATAATAGGCAAACAAACTACAATTTATCTGTTTACAGGTTGAGGATTTAGCTTGCAATTAGTAAATCTTGGCATAATGCCTTTGCTCATAATAGGTGGTTTTGGCCTATTCCCAAATCTCAATCGCAATGTCAGCCCACATAAAGTTCTTCTTCACATTGGGTTCCATGGCTGCAAGGAGCCAAGACATCACCATACTATTTTCT